AAGAAGGGGGGGGGGGGGGGGGGGGGGAGAGAGAGAGAGAGCATCAGGTTAGACAGAAGAGGAAAAGAAGGGATTTTAAAATATTTGTTTTTCTTGTACTTAACTCTCACTTTGTTCCTTCTATGATAGAAGGGTCACAAGGTGAGGAATATTTTTGCCCAGTTTTGTGGTGCTATATAATTCTGCTAATGAAAATGGAGGTATCAAATGTACTGGATTTTGTTGTGGTGGGGGTGATTGTTAGTTGCTTGAATGTGGCAGTGGTATGTTAAAGCCTTTAACTGAGTTCTAAGTAAATTGTTACTTACTTTTTCTTTATCCATTTCCCTATCGTTACAGATAATCAAGAAACCTTAGTAAAGGTAAGAGATGCCCTCCTATATTATCTGCTTCGTCTTTTGCCTTCCTGATTTTAAATCCAGATATCACAGAAACAATCATCTTAGAAATGGATGATGAGGGAGATAGAAATTCTCTATCTGTATATTCTCAAGTACTGAAGAGCTTAGGACTGTGCTTCATTGATCCCAACAACAAACAAATTCACTCAACAGAAGAGTGAACTTTTGTGCTGTGCTCATTCACCAATTTCACTAGGAATATTATAATTAAAGGAAGCAGATATCAAAGAGAGGGCAGGGCCCATCTTGCAATAATAATGAATCTTGTCAAATGTTAGTGATAGCAGCGTTATTACTAATATAGGCTTACTTTCTACAATCAGTGGTTACATTAATTCTCTCTCTATTGGTTCACTTGCTACTTCACACAGCAGATACGTGCACAAAGAGAGAAACCCCTGCCTGACCCATATCATTTGGTTTCCCTCTACCAGACAGCATGTCACTCAAACAAAAAATTCATAATTCAGTAAGAAATTTCAGGAGTTCATCTCTTCTCTCCATAATGATTCAGACAAAGAACATTTTGTATAGATAGCAGCCTCTCTTGGACGAGGGAGGATTAGTTCTCACCGAACGTTTTTCCCTCCTTTTCACTGAGCTATGCTAATGTAGGGTAAAGAGGTTATGGAATGTTTGCCCTCAGGGTGATTCTTCTTCAATGTCTACTCAAACGTTTATTTCTTTGAAGCAGGACATAAAATCCTGGCACAGGAAGCAAGAGCTTGTTAAATTCTTGGCCTTCATCTCAGGCACTCTGACCAGAGCAATCTCTGAACGCTGACCTCCTTCTGGGTAACATTCTAGGTGCATAACCAAAATTAAGGAGTTTTAATGTTAGTATTCAGCTCTATGTGGATCTCACAATGTACTTGTCACGTTGTGTGTGTGTGTGTGTGTGTGTGTGTGTGTGTGTGTGTGTGTGTGTGTGTGTGTGGTTTTGCATGGAGAATCAGGATTTCTTGCTACAATGTGGTAATGAATACTTTAGCATCAACTTCTTCTTGGTACTAATACAGTCAAACTGCTAGGTAAAAAAGCCTATTGGCATCCACTATTATGAATAAAATATAGATATCTTTAAAAAAAACCCAACCTATTGCGTATATGGAGCCATAGATGGAAATAAAATATTTTCTATTATTTGTTCCTTATGAAAAAGATCAAGAAAAGTCTTAAGATTGTAAAGTCAAAAGTCCTGCCTAGAGCAGGGGGCTGGACTTGATGACCTTCTGAGGTCTCTTCCAGTTCTATGGTTCTATGAAAAGTGAAGAAATAAATCTCTAACCTCAGCAGAAAGACTACATAAGTGTACCATCACTGAAAGGAATGAACACCTAACAGGGGAAACAGAAATGTCAAACAAAAAAACCAAGGATAATTAAACGGAAGGGTGAAGAATTTGAGCCAAATACGCATTCTTTTAAAAATAAACATAGCCTCCCTCAGGGAAGCTGACAGCCGCACTGGGCCCCTGGGCAAGGTGTGTGTGTGTCTGAGTTGGGGGGGGAGAGGAGGAGAGAACTCAGTTGAGTGGGGCAGGGCTGGGGAAGCCAATCCCCAGACTGTGGCTGCTTCCCTGAGCCCTCAGAGCCACCCAGAGCATGCCACGCAGTGCTCCAGTGGTGATTTAAAAGACCTGGGACTCCAGCTGCTGAGTGTCCTGGGCCCTTTTGAATCCCAGGCTGTAGGGCAGTTGCCCCCTTTACAACCCTCTTTCCTCCACCCCTATTCAGTGGGCCTGGCCTCACCTCATAAGCCTGCAGAATGAGGCAAACCATGGTAGGATAAAAAGTGAGATAGAAGTCAGGAGGGCAAAGATGTACACTGAAGATTAAATAGGTAATGACATGAAAATGTACAAGAGATTATTTAATTATCTCAGAAGCTGAAAGCACTGATAGTCAGGAGCTTTGCTGAAGTACCAGGGTAAAGCAAGCAATTTATAAGGCATGAAGCAGTGGAAGAGAAGCTACATGAGCTCTCACCACAGTATAGGTTGTGGAGATCTGCAAGTCATCAGAGTGAGGCAATGTTTGGGACTAGGCTACCAAAGGAGCAGGTATAGGAACAAAATTATTAAATTAAAAACTGAAAAGACACCATTGACCAGGACCTTATGCTATACATCCAAGATTTCTGCTGACAATGATATGCACTCATTAAAATCAGCTATATATATATTGACACACAAAGTCAGTAAATGGCCTTATCTTTAAAGATGATGCTAGGGGGATTCCAGGAGAGAGACAAGCAAGCCTTACTAAGTATCAGGAATATGGAAATGAATCTGAACAACAGGATTATTCACACCAAGATAAACATTTAATGACTACAATAAACCAAAATCCGCATAGCGTCTCCCATCCACTAGCATTCTTTCAGGATGTAAACAAAATAGCAGATAAAGGAATTTTAAAAAAAAGCCATTGGAAAAAAAAATCTTAATTGAGGAAATTAAGTGTTCACAAAATGAGAAATAATGTCACGGATCAGGAATTTACTAAGAGTCACATAGCAAATGGGTAGTTTTCACCATGGTAAAAGGCTGACAATGGGTTATACCAACACCAGGGCTGTATGATGTATATTTCAAAATCTGGAAAAGGGTATGAATGTGACAATCTGCTGGTGACATGAAGTTTACAGGTTAGCCAATACTTGAACATCAAAGGGAACTTGCAAAGCTCAGCAAATGGGCAACATAATGGTAGATGCTGAATGTCTTTTTAAATGTAAAATAATGTTCATTAGCAGAGTAGTATGAATTACTCATACCGATAAGTGAGTTCTAAATTAACTATAATCCCTTAGGAAAATTTCCTAGGCATCCCTGTAGGAAATTCAATGAAAATCTCTGCCCACTATGCATCAGCAGTAAAAAGAAAAAAGGCAAAAATATTAAGATACATAAATAACAGGATGGAGAATAATAATTAAATTGTTGTGATGCCATTATAATAAATTGATATTAGACCATCTCCTGGAATGGTGTGTTCAATTCTGGTTACTCTATCTGAAAGAAGATAAGAGCAGAAATAGAAATAGAAATAGAAATAGAGTGTGTGTGTGTGTGTGTGTGTGTGTGTGTGTGTGTGAGAGAGAGAGAGAGAGAGAGAATGGGTGTGAGAGAGAGAGAGAGAGAGAGAGAGAGAAATATGTGACAGTTTAGAGAAGAGTCATAAGAGTGGGAGTGGAATGGTAGACGAAAGGCAAAATTATCAGTGGTGCAAAGAATGTAAACTGGGTACTCCTCTTTATCAAGTAGATAGTAAATGCAATTGAAAAGCAATATAATAATTTAAAACAAATACTTAGTTTTTTTTTTAAATACCTGTAGAACTTATTGCCACAAAGAATTAAGGTCAAGAGTTTAGAGGAGTAAAAAATGATTACACATTTTATATGGATAACAAGAAAAATCCACAAGGATACATTAAGGGAAATAAACCCTCCTACGCTTTAGGTAGTAAGCCAAACACTAAATGATTTCTTTACTGATAATGAAAATTTCTCCTTATAGTTAATCCATTGTTGTCCACCTACAAGATTCTCAGACAGTGCCTTCATACAATAATTTGTGTATTAAAATACTAAGTATTCACTCATTGCAACTTGTCAAGAATACAATGTTTGTGTCAGCACAGTATGCAAGTGTGTTTCAATCCTCTGCATTACAGTAGTGTTAAATGGTGTCAAGTTAATAAAAATGCACTTAGAAAAAAAGACAAAGGATCAAATACTGTTTGCAATTATTCCATGCTCAGTTTTCTCTCTCTCTCTGATCGTGGATAATGGGAGCCCCATTCATTCTTTCAGTCTAAATGACAAAGAGTCACTGTAAAACGCAAGGGCCTTGCAAATATCCAAGGCACAGGGCCAACATTCCCCAATGGATGCATGAAGTTTGGGGCAAAAGACCGCCAGGAAAATATCCTGGCCCATATGGAAAGCAGAGACCACATCAAGCAGAAAAGCAGGGTGGGGACGCAATTGCACCTTGTCTTAAAAGACAACTACATGGGGCGCTCTGACATGAAGGCCCTCAATTCAGACCAGGGATGTTAGTGTTTAACTAATAAGCATTAGCTTATCGATTAATATTATCATTGAACTCTGCCCCCGTGAGCCAAGCCAGCAGTATCCATGGGCCCAGCTCCCGCTACGGTATGAAATTTATTTAAACTTTATACAGCAGAGCCAGCAATGTGTGTAACTGCTAACATTTGTAGCAGTTACCTTATTAAACCACTTTTAACATCACTAACTCAGAGACCCTCCTTGCCAACATAATGGCCATGAGGAAGGCCACCTTCTAGGATGGGTGCAGAAGAAAACACATGGCCATCAGCTCAAAGGGTGGCCCGGTTAGCCTAGAGAAAAACAGGTTAAGGTCCCATCGCAATAAGATCCTCTCAATGCCCTGGAGGAACTTCTCCATTGTATAATAGGAAAACACCGATAGGCCTGCATTGGTGGGTGAAAAGTCAAAATTGCTGCCAGGTGCACTTGGATTGATGAGTGTGCCAAGCCCCTCCTCCTTCAAGAAGAGAGAACCTGGATGGGAGGCGCTCTGGTAGGAGAAAGACCATGCTGTTCATGAGCCCATATCATGAACCCAGTCCTATTGGCCCGTTAAGTGTGTCTGGGGGACTGCTTATGACTTCCCAGCAGGACTTGCTGCTCTGCATCTGAGCACAAGAGCTCTTCCACCGTCAGCTCTGGAGCAGCCATGCTATGAGGTGAAGTGACGACATGTCCGGGTAGAGACGGTGTCTATGGTGCTGAGAGAGCAGGTCTGGGTGCAGCAGCAGAGGTCACGGAGCACACCACAAGTTTCAGCAATGTGGCATACCAATGCTGGGGAGTTCACGCCGGCACAACGAGAATGACACTGGTTCTGTCCTGCTTAACCTTCCTCTGGAGTTTGGGGATGAGTGGAATCGGTGGAAGACACGTAAGACAGGGTGCCCGACCACTGGATGAGGGAAGACATCTCTCAGGGACCCCTTGTCTGCCTGATGTCTGGAACAGAAGCTGCGACACTTTGTGGTGTTCTCTGTGGTGAAGAGGTCCACCAGGGGAGTGTCCCACTTCCAGAAGAGCATGACAGCGGCTTGCCTGTGAAGGGACCACTCGTGGTGAAAGAACTCCATGCTCAGCTGATTGGTGAGGAGGTTGCTGATGCCGGATAGATGACGGGCCTCCAGGTGAATTGCACGCAGCATGCAGAAGTCCCCGAGGTGGATCACCTCCTGGCAGACCATGCTGGACCGGGCTGCTCCCGGACAGCCAACGGTAGAACATCATGGCCATGTTGTCCATGAAGACCCAAACAACCCTTCCCTTCAAGTGAGGGAGGAAGACCTCGTGCGCTCTGCAAACCACCGTAGTTCTTTGATGCTTAGGTGGCAGGGCACCTCCTGTGGGGTCCCCACACCCTGAATCCATGGATTGCTCAGGTGGGCACCCCAGCCCAGGTCTGATGCATCCAATATCAGCTTAAGGAAGTGGGGAAAGGCCCTGAATGGAACTCCTACCATTGCATTTTCAGGAACTGTCCACACCACCAAGCTATGGAGTTGAGGACTAGGGCTGGGACCATCACTGCCCAGTCCCAGGGAGGTCTGGAAAGGGCGGGCATTCACTGATGCCAGCCATTGCTGGAGGGGCCACATTCTGAGTCTCGCATGTCTGGCATAAGTGGATGATGCTATGTGTCCAAGTAACTGAAGGCCGACCCTGGCTGTAGTGATCAGTACAATGGCCTCATGGCTTGCATCAGGGGAACTGTCTCATGGTCCGGGGAGGACGGTGCCTGGACTCGGGCTCCTTGCACCTCTACAAGGTGAGAGCCTATGAGTCCTCTGGTGCCAGGAGCTGAGGCTGCCAGCAGTGCTTTTGGAGTACTGACTACAGAGTGTGGTACCTGGGACAGCACAGAGAATCCACACAGGTTCCAGAGCCACCACTGTGGTGGTCAAGCCTGCAACCACTGTGCCAGCTGGAGTCCTGCCTGTGGTATTGGAGGCGTCAGAGGAGGACCTTGCAGAAGAGGCAAGGAGGGTTGGTCTGAGGCCAGCTCGGCAGATTACGTGGTAGCAGGAGACCAGGAATGGGGGCTGGTACAGGAGGGAAGCCACCCTCTAGTCACAGGATGCAGAGGAGCACTGTGAGCGGTCCCCCAGTGACTGCCAGACCTTCCAGGATCAGCAGTGCAAGTGACAGTGAGTATCTTTGTCCTGATTCACTTGAGAGCTGATGTGGGTCTGGTGATGATCAGCCAAAGTGTGGTGTCGCAATGTGAAGTGGGACCACCAGCCCCTGCGTGCCTCAGGGACACACTGCGGAGAAATACGAACTAGGGAGCAGTGAATGGTGCCATGTCAGAGATCTGTCCCTTGAATAGCACTCGGACCTTGGCAAATAATAGTCTCAAGCATAGTGTTCGTTCTGGGATGCGTGTCTCTCCAGTAATCTGCGCCAAAACCCCAGGGAGTCATGCTTTGTGCCTTCTGTGGTCCTCGTGCCCACCAGGGACTGAGCCAGGCTATGAGCCTCACCCTGCATGGATGGGGCCTTAGAGGTCCCACTGGATCAAGAACACTGGGGCTGCGGAGACCAGAGGGGCAGCATGTGCAGCTTCTCTGTGTGTCTTGGTCCTGCAACTACTGTGGTGGGTGGTACCGGCATCGACAAGATGTCCTGGGCCATATATAAGGCCTCAGGGTTTGACGGCATCTGAAGCTGCTCCACTCCACTCAGAAACCAGGCCTGAGGGAGGGGGAGAGGACTCTTGAGCTGATGGGCATTAGAATTTTGTTGGGCCACTGCAGGAGAGGCCACTAGTGTCAATGATCTGGGCCTATCCTCATTAGATTCTGAAGACTTGCCCTTGCCTTGACTAAGCTTATGGGGTGCCTTTTCAGTACAAGGCTTGAAGAACATGCAAGTGCAGCCCTTATCACTTATATGGCCCTCTCCTCAGGGCAGCAACAAGTCACAGAGGGGGTCGCTCACTGGCATGGGCCGATTGCAACTGCGACAACTTGATGCCTGGGGAACGGGGCATGCTCCAGCCCAAGACTAAGTCCCTATGGGACCTAACTTCTCAGGACAGTAACTAACAACAGAACTATTTACAGGGAAAACAGAGGAAATGTGCAACAGCTAACACTGGGACTAGCAGGTTCCGCTGTACCAGCACTGGTAGCAAGAAAGAACTGAGGGTGGAGGGGGCTGGAGGTGACTTACATAGTGTGGCATGTACATACCACTCCAGGGGGTGCCTCAGCTGGCTCCCTGTTAAGGGAAGATCTTCTGGTACTGGTGCATGTGGCGAGCACACTGTGTTGAATGGACATGAGCAATCACTCAAAACGGAACTTAGTCTTTTCTATGAATGCTCTAGTCACCCTGCAAGTAATGGCTGCCACAGCCCTGCAGAGACATGGATCCATGTCACCTGATAGTGGATCCTCCTCCCCTTTTGGCATGGAAGACAAAGGACTCCCACCTTACACAAGAGTTTTATAAGGCAGGGGAGCAACATTGTCCAGGTTCTCTCTGCTTCCCCCACTCCCTCAAAAGACACTGAAACACCTGGAAGCAAGAACTGTCTGGGGGAGGAGAGGCGGTATAGTAGATACCAAGCTGGAATGCCATCTAGTTTGTGAATAATATTTGAAGTCTCAAGCTGCAAGCCAGTGGAGTTGTCTTCCAAGCCTCCCTGTAATCTGCCCATGGCAACATTTAGGGAGAGAAGTTACTGTTTGCAACCAATTTCACTGATGAATCAAGCTAGTTTGCGTGTTTTCTTTTATGTGCTTAATCTGCTTCATTCTGTTGCTATCCTGTATATTCACTTAAAATTCACCTTTTGTACATAACCAACTTATTTCTTGTTTATAATATAACCCAATTTGTGCCATTCATAAATGGGGGCGGAGGGGGAATCTGTGCATACCTTCCTCCACACTGAGGAAAAGGGCAGATTTCATAATATACCTGTGGGTCTGCAAACTCCAAGTGAGGTGTGCATCTGAGTACTGGGGCAAGTCCCTTCAGCTGAGTCTTCCCAAAGCTGAGCTCAGCGTCTGTCATTCTGTACTTGGTTGTGGCCCTACCTGTGTGCCCTAGAGGAAGCTCAACAGCCTGACTTAGCAAGACAGGGTAAAAGGGTGCCCAGGCTGGCAGAAGAGACAGGCTCAGTAGTATCCTTGCACATCAGGTGGCATCTTAAAAAGAGGGCAATACTGTCACAAGACTGACCCAGACATAAGGACTCTGAATTGTTTCTGGAAATGAAAAATACAAATGACTTACAATGAACGGTGATGGACGTTGAGTCCTCCATGCTTCTGTCCATCAGAGAGCATTTGTATTGGCCTGTTGCATTTCGTCTCACGTCTGTCATCACGTAAGTTTCTGAGCCCCTTATAGCTTCCAGTTCTCCCTGTGGATAGAAGTAGAACACTTGAAAGTTACAGTGAGCTGCTAAAAATGTAAGTGTCATATTTTTTGAATAATCTCTCTCTATAAAAAAAGTTGTTCCTGCCGGATGACAGAATGACACCACCACATCATCAGCACCAACAGGCTCCCTCAGCGAAGCAAAAGCAGCCAGAGAGAAGGAGACAGGTGAGCGTAGCGAGCAGAGGGCGCAGCCCCCTAGTATTTTATAAGGCAACTTTCCTCATGAAGTGCTTCACGTTCCCTATATATTCAGCATCAATGAAATCCAACTACCTCTGTGTTAGAGCAAGGCTTCAATTTTGCTGCATGATTGACTGCAGGCCTTGCACTGCTGAAATGTTACTCCCATGTTAACAAAAATGTTTTACTTTGAACTTTCCACTGAAATGATGATTTTAAGAAATTATTGAAAAATTCATAATCTAAGGCCTTTAACAGCAAGACTGGAAGGGAAGAGGACAGACAGACAGAGAATAAAATGTATAACAAACATTGCAAAGAGAAACTATGGTGGAGAACAATTATCATATCCAAAATGCTACAAATATCAAGGAAATTACCAAAGGGTATCACAGTTAGGTCCATGATGCAGTCAGCCTAAGCAAATGGCACTAACTCTAGCTCCCCTCAAGAAACAGAACACTTTAGATATAATTAGGAGGCTGAAGTCCATGCAAAGGGGGTCCTTAGCTGAACCATGAGAGTCACAGCACAGGTGGAACTCTGGTGTAATGATGGTCTTCCCTCCTTCCAACATCCTTCCCTTCCCCCACAACTGCTGATTTGAGTAGTTTAAAAGGAGGTTCATTGTGTTGTCAGACCTTCCCTCACACTTCTGCAGCAAGGAAAGTCGCAAAAGGAAGAGGAGTCCTTATTAAACTAAGCAACTGATAGTTTGGGAGCACATGGAAGCACACAGTCTTCCTGTCCTGAAGGTGAATCTGTTCTCAAGGGTGGTGTACTGGGAGCAGAACATACATATCTAAGAAGAGAGCCAGAAAAAGGAAGGAGGAAACAAAAATCAGTCTACAGCTAATCACATTTTGGTCTGAAAATATTTCACCTATGATTTCAAGATTATTGTAACTGTAATATAAATGGTATTACAAATTTTTCAGTTTTTACTTTGCACATTTGTCAGCAAGTATGGTTTGTTCTACTGTTTCCCTTGTATTGTCCATCAGTCCTTATTTGTGTTGGTATTTCACACGGCAACAGAGTAAAGACAAAATAAATACAGAAAGATGCAACTATGGCCCCACAAGAAGCAGAAGGTGTAATATCTCAAACAATTTAAACTCATGCAAAAAGAATGTTTGTCCCTTTAATACTTAGTAAATTTTAAAAAAATCTTGTTTCCCAACTTACTAAAAGAATCTAATAATAAATTGTATTTCTGTTTTTCACCATGTAATTCTATTGTTCCTCTGAAGACTGTCACTGGAGGAATTGCACAATATACTTTATAGAAAATGGTCTAAATCTTAGATAGGATTTTGCCACCTTAATTGCTATGTTAATTTGATTTTTCTGGTGGCATTACTCTGTTCTGATTTGAAAGCATTTAAAACTGTTTTTCTCTGGTATTTTTTCACCATTGCATTTCTACAAACACCACTGCAGCATATTTTGTGTAAAAAGGCTGTTAATCCGCGAGTAGGGAAGACAAAGTCTTCTAGGTTTGACAGATTTTCTGCAAGCTCCAGCCTAGCATCCTCTCAGCACGTTTGCTGAATTTGCCAAGGTTAGCTTTTCACTTTAATAGCACCATATGCCTTCATTGGTTATACAGGCATTTATAACTTCAGTCCAGAGATAAACTAGCATTGAACATCAGCACCCACATTCATATGTAGGGTGCCTACCATGGGCAAGGCTGGATTAAGGTATATCCAATCTACATACATGCCTAGGGCATAATTTGTTGAGGGGAGGGGAAACCTGAGCTCCAGCTGGAACAATTTAGGTAGTAGTGCAGGAGCAGCAGCACTGGCCACCCCGTACTGACTCACATTTGGCACTGGCATGACCCTCCCTCCATCACAATGCAGGGAACAAGTGGCCAAACGTGCACAGCACAGCAAGGTGAACCAACACAGCTCTTCCTTGCCACTGCCACGGGTCCAATTCTTGCACCCGGGCTGTCCGCAAGGGTGTGCCTGGCCTTGCCCCATTTCCAGAATTCCATGTCCCCTCTACTCAGCTTACTGGACTTGCTCAGCAGTGGCTCATCATCTGCTACAAAGACAGGGAGCTGCAGTGAGTGCCTCCATGGGGCAGCTGACTAGCAGTGGGGAGAAAGCAGAAGGGGTTTTGGTGCAATGATACGTGGTTCAGGGTGGATGCGTCTGGTGTCAAATAGAAAGAAACAGTACCGAGTATTGTAGTAAGGTAATACTTACCGGAATATAAAACAAAAACTCTTGCGGAGGGGGGTTACCATTTCCTGAGCACTTTAGTGTAATGTTATCACCTTCTTTAATGGTATTTCTTTGGGACAGCACTTTAATTGTCACCTTCTCTGTAGGATCTGTGAAAATAATGAAGAGTAAGAGATTTTGTCAAATACCAAGATAAGTATGCATACAAGTTAAAAGTCCAACGTAAAAACAAATTTTCTCCTAAAGAAGGTAAGGGAAACTGCATCATTTTTTTTAATAGAAAGATTAAAGTTAATAGGTACTTGTTCATTCTGAGTAATCCTCTTAGAGTAAACTACATAGAAACCCAAATATAAAAATCAATTTTTTCTTTAAGCAAAATGACTATAACTGAAGCAGCAGTGACCATAATTATTTCATGTAAAAAAGACCACTATGAACAATTTCACAGTAGAGGAAATCTCATGATTTCATTATGAGAGACTTTTAATGGCATTGTATGCAGCTTACTGTTTGAAGGGACTTCAGCAGGCACAAAAAGAACTAAAGCTATCAGCCCCCTGCACTAACTGGATAATAGTAACTTGTATTATACACACAAACAAATATTGGCTGAGCAACTATAGCGAGGCTCCTCAGTATGCTGATCAGTACAGTAGCTTTCAGAAAGACGAATTTGGTGAACTTAAGACTCAACACAGACCACGGAGCTGTAAATGTAATATATTTCTGTCATGTTCAATAGGGTTGAGCTATAACATTTTATTGTGGGGTTTTTTAAATCTTATCATTACTCTTTTTTTGGTTAAGTGTATTCTCTAATAGATGTTACTCCTCCAATGAAGAATGCTAAATATACTTCTCAGAAGTTGAGTGGAACGGAACAGATTAAAGAGAAAATAATGGATAGGTAACCATTTCTATTACTTTAAGTAATATGCCCTAGTCATGTGCCTCTCTTGCATTAGTTTAGAGCAGGGATTCTCAAATTTTACTGCATCGCGACCCCCTTCTGAGAACAGAACTTATGACCCCAGGAAGGGGTCCTGAAACTTGGGCCTGCCCAAGCCTTGCCACCCCTTGGAGGCACCAGGTGGGATCTTGTAACCTGTGCCCCCAAACTCAGGACAGAACCAAGTGTTCCCTGTAAGCTGGATCCTTTGCAACCACTATGGAGAGATTACAATGTTGCTTCGCTGATTAGCAGAGCGCTCACAGCTAGGCATTGCCTCGGTGCACATACAATTTATTCTGCACATGGATGGAAAAGAATAGATGGAACATTGGCCAAAGTCCAAGTGTGAGCCCCCTTACCCAAGAGAAAATCCTCCAGCTTCCACTTCAGGCTCAAGTCCCAGCAAGACCACCACCAACCTTAGTCACCCCATTAAATGGGGTCCCAACCCACACTGGGGTTCTGACCCACAGTTAGAGATCTGCCATACCCTATCCCAGCAGTTCTCAAAGGCCTTCACCATGACTCTATTAGGACCCATGCTACTCAATCTTTGATCAGCATTCAGGCAGTTGTGCTACTTTCTAGCTGGTAAAAATGGTTAGCTTGCTCTGAATACCAAATCACATGGTAGCCTTGGTGGTGATAAATTTTAAAATTTTATCTACATGAACAGTGACTTCATGCTGTTAACTCAGGCCACCTCTTCACTCCGAGGAAGATCGACGTTGCGGGGGAAGAGGGGCTTGGACAACATTGAATGTATTTTTGTTTTGGAGTTGAGTTGGGAGTGGGATACTTCTTCTGGCATTCAACTTCTAAGCGATGTTAAGTGAGTGATGTAGCTACTCTGTCATGGCATCATCATCATCATCATCATCATCATCTAGAGACAGAGAACATCCATCCCTCCATCAAGATAGGAAAGCAGACAGAGTATAGGCAGATGGCCGTTTGGGCTAGTGGTCTACAGGGGCAGGATGGAGAGCTCAAGAAGCCCCAACACTGAAGACTCAAGTTAAATGACAAGGTGAATTAAGGAGCCCTGGTGGTTAGCTGCATGCAGTAATGCTACCATGGCCCTATTTTCATGACTCATCACTGGTGGAGCAATGCCAGCCAGCACTAGAAAGTTGGAGCCTTGAGTTGTGCAGGCTGCATTATGGAAAATATGAAGAGCAGAGAAGATCATTTAGTCCAACGTGCTGCATCTGACTATGACCCCTTGCTGCTGCACAGTATTCAGCAAGTGCAATAATTAGGACATTGGTAAATATCTGACAGGTTGCAGACTGGTAGCCCACGAGCTGCTGAAAAGCCTAAGGATGAGTGGATTTTTGCAATGTCTTCTGCATGTGTTACTGGAAGGACAGAGTGCTCCAGCTTTATCCCCAAATAGATAGGGTTCAGTTAAAAAATGACTGCCTGATTATTCAGAAGAACCTGCATCTGTTGATGAGTGGGCTTCATCACTGATTTTAAACTGAACAGCTGGTATTTTGTTAATGTATAAGTAGTTGCCTTTTACACACTGAAGGAATGATACAGTGTGGTGAAGCATCTGAATGCAAATGACTAGGTCAATAGACTTCCATTTCTCAGAGCACTAATCTGTCCTTTTTAAAAAATCTGCACTAAATTCAACTAAAGAAAAAATTAATGATGTGGTAGAAACAAATTAAGAAAAATGACACATTCAGAAACCCCTCTCCAACTCTCCCCCCAAAACACACCACTTGGATCTCACCATCAACAACTTCATCTAACATCAGTGGAGGAATCTGTTCAAAGCAACACTGGCCATCTATTCAAATGATATTATGAAGATCTCAATTTCAGGATGCATTTCAAAAGAGCAAGGGACTGAAGTGATGTTAAATGAATTAAAGTATTTTTAGAAGGAAATTGGTAATGCTTCAGTCTGAGGCTGAAACTGCTTCGTGCCATGTACTCCTCTTCATTAATCAAGGGTATGCCCAGTTCCTATTGTTAGCTAATTAGCAGTGAAGCAATACTCAACATCTCTCAAGGAAATGAGAGAGAGGCGCATGAAGAAGTTATTTTAAATTGCCTGCTGGTAGAACAGCATATAATATGCTTGCTAGCCAGACTCTTTTACTCTTCTATGTAAAGTACCCAGCATTCCTTTTGTGCAGACAATAATGCTGTTCGGAACAGGATTCTTTTCTTCGCATTGGGCTATGCCTGTGACTGTCTGATGTACGTAAATTTCAGAAGTCTGTACAAATGAAACCCATGGTGAATAGGCTGGGCAGGTATGTATAGGCGGTCATGGTGATGAGGACAGTAGTACTGCCTAAAGAGCAGTAGCTATGAAATAATCTGAGTAGACCGAAGATTCATGCAAATTATCTCACTATCCCATGTCCTTTCAAGCAGACCTCACTGCATCCTCGATTCTGTAGTGATGCTGTGGAGGGCAGTGAGAAATACTGCTATCTGGGGATTGTAGCAATTCCTGAGTCTTGTAGGAGAGGGCGGTACAAGAGAGAATGAGTTTAGGTACCTATTCTTTAGAGACTAGAAAGTAAAGTCAATTTTATAGGTATGGAGAGAATGCTTGTGGGATAGGGATGTTTTAAGAATCTGATATTCCCAATGACTTTCTTCCCATTTTCCCTGGTTGGTTTGAAAGTGTCAGTCAGTGGAAAAAAGGCACCTGAATCTCTTACTTAAATCAGGAATAACTCCAGTGCATTACCTTAATGTTAATGATGTATCATGAATGGAAGGCAAAAACTGGGTCCCCATTACAAATCTCTCCACAGACTGTCTCAGAAGAGAATAGAAGCTAGCCAAAAAAGTAAGCCATATATGGTTGCCTGAGTTTGGGGCTTTCCTTTTCTTAGGACAGTGAATCATTGCCCCTGACAATATCTATCTCTTTGCTAACAGATTGTTAGGAATCATTTAGGAAAGGGACAGATAATCAGAAGATATCATATTGCCTCTGTATTAATCCGTGGTATACTCTCATGCAGACCTGGTCAAACCATTTCAAAAATATATATATTGAAACTGGAAAAGATTCAGAAAAGGACAAAAATGATTATGGGTATGGAACAGATGTCATATGACGAGAAATTAAAAAGACTGGGACTTTTCATCTTAGAAGAAAGGGAGTCAACTAAGGGGAAGAGGGATACGATAGAGGTCTATGGAATCTTGACTGATGTAGAGCAAGTGAATAAGGAAATGCTACTTGCTCCTTCTCAACACCAGAAGTCTAGAAATGAAAATAATAAGCAGCACAGAAGTAGTTCTTCACAAACACACAGTCAACCTGTGGAACTCTTTTCCAGGAGATGGTTGTGAAGCAAAACTATAAGAGGATTCAAAAAAGCAGGCATTTTCCTGAAGGACAGGTTCATCAATGGCTTTTCGCCAGGATGGGCAGCGATCCAACATCATGCTCTGAATGTCCCTAGCCTGTTTGCCAGAATCTGGGAGTGGACAACAAGGTATGGATCACTCAATAATTGCCTATTTGTTCATTCCTTCTGAAGCACCTGGCATTAACCACTGATGGAAGACAAAGGTAAGGGAGCTAGACTGACCATTTGTCTGACCCAGAATGGCCATTCTTATGACTGCAGAGAGCAGATGTGCATTGCTGCTGCTCCAGGTGAAAAAGCTCTCATGCCCAGTACTGACCTCTCAGGGCGTGGCCAATGCTTTGATCCTGGAAGGTGCTGGGCAGCTCAGTTCCATGGGCTTCAGCAAAATTGTGAGTTTTTAGCATGCTGAATTTTGGGGCCCTAAAGTTGGCACAGAGTTAAGTTGCTATGTACATTTTTCATATTTATAATGGTTTTAATATGCTCCAGAAATGTCAGCTGTGCAAGGCTGGTGTACCCAGCTTGAAATGGGAATCCCTATTTGTTGCAGGCCAAGCAACTGAACTTAATCAGTTTTGCATTTCATCTTTTCTTTGTTCTAACATCTTCACAAGACAGATTAGAAGGAAAACAATTTTTTTTCTGTAGGGGTAGCAAAGAGCTTCAATATACTAAATTATCCAGTGCCCGGAGAATTGTAGTCAATTAGGTGACATATACATGTATTTTAACTGGTGTCAGTGACCACTTGATCTCAGTGGCAATTATTGTAACTCACCAAAATAATACAAGTGCACTGTAACACAAACTTACATAGTTGGTAACACAAAAAAAACCAGACAGATGCCTGGACAGAAGAAGCAGTCTCAAATTAGAAGAGTTTTCTTTAGCACTTGAGCTATCACTTTCGGAATATACATAACATTTCCTTCAGTGTTCTTTTCTCCTCAGTTCTCTATACAACCCCGGTATCTTCTACATTCAAGAAGCATCTTTCTTCATTTCCTTGACATACCTTTCCATGTTCTCTACAGCTGCCACCATTTTCCTCACTACTTCCTGGTCAAATGTCCGCTCTTTTTGCTCAATGAAGGTTATACTGTATTCAAGTGTATTTTGTACTTAGATGAGTTGGATATTAGCTACCTAACTTATAGATAGAAAAGCAATGACATTTTAAGCAGAGGGATAGTCACACTGCTTGTTTATACATATGACATTTTTGTGCTCCAGAAGTACAGGTTGAAACTCTAAAATCTGTTACTCTCTGATCCGGCAAGGGAACCATGGATATTGCTGGACCAGAGAGCCCCAGCTGGCAGTGGGAGTAGCCAGTCAGAAGCACAGCACTAGCCAGTGGGGCAGTAGCTGGGAGCGCAGTGTAGGCCAGCAGCAGAGAGCTCATCCCTGTCCAGGATCAGAGGTCAGTGGCGAAGGCTGGAACCTAGGAGCTGGGCTGATGCTGGGGGCGATCCTTGACCTTCCCTAGTCTGGAAAACTCCCTGGTTTTGTCCCACTCAGGTCCTCAGGGCACCATGCCAGGGAGGTCCAAGCTGCACTCTAAATATTTGGGTACCTTAGTATACTAATTATGATATATACTAGTTTATAATAATTGCATATTTCACTGGGCAGAGAGAGATGTGAGGACAATCTTTACATTCTTTGAACTCCAATCAACTACTATGAATATTTCTAATTCAGTTTGTGTAGTAATCATTTGTTACTAGGATTTGAAATTACCATTTCATCATAAGATTCTGTTAGCTGCTACACTTCCGCTCCTATAAGAACAATCTTAATATTCAGAATTCTAATGCCAGGGGGGGAAAGTAACAAAATCTCTAATACTGAAATGGATACAGTGTACGCTTGACTTAATTATTTTCATTCAAATAAACATTTGGAAAGTAGTAAACCTATTATCAAAAACAGCATCATCCTTCTGATTTCATCTCTCAATTTTAGCAAGGTGTTTTGCTATCAAAGAAAGTCCATGTCTTTGTAATTTTGCTGACGGACTTCGGTTCTCCCCACCCACACACAAAGATCACACTTATGATCTGCTATCCAGTTTTTAAATAACTTACAGCGAACATCAAAGATCACTGGTTGAGATGGTATTGTGTCCTGTCCTGATGGCCCATAATATGTCACACTACAGGCAAACTGTGCATTTGCATCTTTCTTTGTTGGCATGTACTGGAGAGATGATGTTGTGGTGAAGAGTCCATTTGATTTGTCCACGGTCTTTTGTAAGCTCATGACTACAACTGAAAAGAAGATATTGTTTGTGTCATTCTTAGTGTATATTCAGCCTTTCCTAATTTTGGATTTCTTATTTTGTATATTAATGATTTTTATGCACGTTTTGCTCAGCATCCAAGCACATTACATGAATTTTAAAACAAGCACTATAATAAAACAAAATTCACCAGAACAGACTGCACCTTCTGGTCCTAGTACTTTGGCCCTCAAAATAAAAACACCCCAATAATGACTCATGCTCAGACACGGCTCTCCTAAAATCCTGTAAGCATTTAAAAAAGTCTAAACAAATCCTCAAATGTTAATTAATTTTCTAATTACTTAAAAAGAAGCCTCTCAACTCAGAAAGATACAGCTAACATTTTGAAAATTGTATAATATTACATATTAATTGTGAGAAGCTTTAATCCATGGAATAGCCCAATAGATTTAAATAGGATTACTCATACAAGTGAAGTTACTGGCATGTGCAGATTGTTATAAGATCAGGTTCCATTGTCCATTACCGAAACATACCTCCTTCAATGGGCTGCAAAATATTTCCATTTTTGTACCATGTAATGTTGCCTTCTGGATAACTCTCTCTTGCAATACATTCTCCAAGCTGCAGAACAGATAAAAATTATGAAACATTTTGTCCTCTGACATTCTGGTAGAATTACTCGTTCATTTATGCTTTCAGGGTTAGTCTTGGTTACATGATTAGTTAAAGTCTTAGGACAGTACAAACACTTAATCCAAAACTTTGATTTTTTTTTAATAAAAGGATACATTACATAAGTGATGCTTAGGTATTTCTTGGGGCTGAGGGCAGAATAGAGTTGGACATATTCTTCTGGATACGTGCATGGCTAGTTGTAACTTTCTAGTAAGCTGCTGTTATTCCTGTTTCGGCTGAAAACTGGTTTCAGTACTTCTGTAATCAGGCTGGGTCTACACTAGGGGCTATGTTTGAATTAAGATATATGCAACTCTAGTTATGTTAATCGTGTAGCTGGAGTTGACATACCTTGATTCAAACTTTGGTGCCATCCCCACAGCAGGAGGTCAACAGGAGAAATGCTCCCATCAACTTCCCTTATTCCTCACAAGGAGGAGTACTAGCACCAATGGGGGAGTCTTCTGCATTCGATTTAGAGAGTCCTTACTAGACCTGCTAAATCAAACACCAGAAGATCAACCTCCAGAGCATTGATCTGCAGGTAAGTATAGATGTGACTTGATTCCTGAATATTCCTACCTCAGAATGCATATGTGCGTGCACAGGCACTCATACAATATCCCATCTTGCTAGTGGAACAGCTTCGAGCTCACTTCCAGGAGCATGAGTTTAAGAAAAATGTTCTTACCATTTTAAGTTTCCCTGTTTCTAGGAAGTTCGCTGGATGTATGATTTCTGGTTGAGATGGTTGTTCTAAAAAGAAAAAATATGCATCAGAGAAAGGAGAGTAGGAATTTCAGTTTGTTGTTGTAGATGTTAGAATATTGAGCAACTTGGGTTCAACAGCTATATTAAAACTATTGTGTTAGCTGCACAGTCATCATGCTTTTCATTTGAAAAGTGAGCTTTTAGGGGTTTTCACTCTCCTTGGCTGTTAAAAAAAACCTGATGCTACCTAAATATTGGCAAATGAACTTTGGAAGGGAAAACATTTTGAGAGATGTAATAGGAGACAAACATGTTATTCGTCTCAGTTTATAAGTCATTTTACATGATGACAGAAAGGTAGCAAAAACATATGCTACACATATTGGGACACTATATTATAGCCTGGAATGCTACAAACTAGATTAAGAGAGAACCTACTGATGAACATGATACATTTCCAGAAGAAGGAAACAGTTGTATAGAAAACATAGTGCCACAAAAGAAGATTGAACACAGACTTAAGTTTAGCATTAATATTTCAAACAAATTCAAATCACTCTTATAATTTCCCCCCCACACTACTATTACACTTCAGTATCATCTGGGATTATAACAACAGAAGACAAACTCCATTAATTCATTTTTTTAAAATTGACTAGATGTTGAGTCTACTGCATCTCTTTAAAAAGCAAACTTTCTATTTAGTAGCAATATATACCATCCTATTTATGATAGCTGCACCCTTCCATGGTAGGGTTGAGGGTCCGTCAGCATTTTCATTATAAAACACTATTTTCTTGAGACTATATAACTTGTATGTCATAAAATTTATTCTGGCCTAAAGCCTGGAATGCAAATTTTTATCTTCAAGAGACTATTTTCCTATAAGTTTGAAAGAAACAAAGTCTGTATGTTTATGGAAAGAAAGTCTCTGCACTCCAGCTGTGTTTCTAAATAAGCACACATTTTTATACGCATATACAAACTGAAACTTACTCCAACTTTTCACGCTTCAGCTTATAGAAGCTTTCTCAAATCAAACCTATCGAACAATGCTAGTAATCTGGAAAATTACAAAGTGTCCTGTTTTCCTTTTCCAATTCTCTTCATGTAATTTAAAAAAAGAAAAGAAAAGAAAAACATAAAAAGTTCATTCATTTACATGGGGATAGTCACTCTTGTCATGCATACTACAGCAGTAGCTAAGTTTGCCATAAGGTTTCATTCTAAGTCTCTTTCTTCATATAATGGGATACAATTTCCTGCATTTCAGAAGATTTGTCAAAACAGAAGATCAAAAAGGAAAAAAAATACAAAAGCAATAAAAGAAACTATTTATTTGGCATTCTTAAACAACTAGCCTGTGGCAAATAAAATACCAAAGCCATATTCCAAAAACTGTGGGCTCAAAAAGCCTCATGTTATTCTCAGGCAGAAAACAGAACAGAATGTATTTTAGAAGTGTTTGTGTGCTATTGTAAGACAAACAGATTAACCCATTTTCCAGACACACTTGCAGAGACCATAGGTTTTCATGACCATCACCATCAGGTCCCCTAAAATGCCCTCATCCCATGCAAACTGGCCCCATAAACAAAATGTATTGCTTTTACATAATTTTGCTAGCAATCTGATAAACTGAACAAATTTAATTTGCTGTGTCCTTTTCTTCCCCCCTTTCTTTCAAATTTCTTTCCTCCCAACTACACTTGGTTGCTTTTTAAGAAGGGCTATCAGTAGCACTAACCCTTTGGTCAGCTCTCCTCTCTCTGAGCTCAGTTAAGAGATAACGGACCATCTACCGACAGTCTCTGACTTACGAACAAGTTACGTACCAAACACTTGGTCGTAACTCGATCTGTTCGTAAGTCGGACTCCATTCATTTAAATGTAACTGTTCGTAAGCGCGGATCACGCATTCGTAACTTAGGGACTGGCTGTAATGCGCTTAATGGGAGGTTGGTCGTAAGTACGCACAGTCGTAAGTCGATGTGTTCATAACTTGGGGACCACCTGTATCCTGGGGGTATTCACTACTTGCAAGCACTCTGTCTACCCACATGGGAGGCAGCAGAGACGGCCCAGAGGAGCTGCTTAGAAGTCTCCCTACCTGCTCAGGGTACATCTACATCACAGTTAAAAAACCAGAGCTGACCCAGATTGGGACAAAGGGGCTGTTTAACTTCAGTGCAGACATCTGGGCTCAGGCTAAAGCCAGGCTCTAGGACCTTGCAAGATGGAAGTGCAGTCTAAGATGGAACATTTACATTACAATTCAGCAACCTGAGTCTGTTGGCACGGTCCAGTCGCAGATGCCTAGTTGCAGAACAGACCATGTTTAATTTGTGCTAGGGCTCAAACCCTAGCCTTGACAGTTCATAGCCCCAGCACCTCCAGGCCTGATGTATCAGATACAAAATGAAAAGAAATCGCTAGGGCTCCCAGCACCGCTTTCAGTGCATATTAAGCATTGAGAACGGAGACTGTTGCAGAGGAGGAAGAATACTAATAGGCTTGCACCTGTGAAAGCCGATTAATTTACTGTGCATACATTTATTGGGTGCCAGACATTTACAAGCTCATCTCCTGAAGCAGAAGGAAATTTTAAGCTCAAGAGTTTAATAGCATCAGAGCATAGGTGGTGGGGCTTCTAAACGGCAAACTGCTTATCTCTGGCTGCAGAGACTTAGAGGAGCACCTTTATAGCTTTGCAAGCATATTAGCTCGGCTTGCTAGGTATAGAGTCCAAATAGCTGTGCAAGGAGATAATAGCTAATGTTCGAGGAATCAGTATGCTTTGGAAATTCTGGCAATCTACATCCAGATGAAGATGCTGAAAAGATCCACCAGGAAACCTCACAGAGGTTGTTACCTGAACAATTCAATGAGGGCTATTAGCAGGTGTTATCAGTGTAATGAGCCAATATGCCTTGTTAGCTGCACCAGCTGATTAACACAGGACTAAGGAGGTAACAAGCTCCAGAGAAACTGAGCTTCAGCACAATCACAAGGGAGTTTCAGATAACCAACAAGAATTTTGGTTGCTTGGGATACAAGCAACTGCACTTATGCAGCATCTGTGATTCAAGGTATTTAGAAGTTTTATTAGTTAAAACTACAGTTTGCCACAAATTAAATTTTTCTTTATATAAGCCAATTGGGGAAATTAAATGCTAAAATGTATGAATAGAATTTGAAAGCTGTAAAATCACTCAAAAATCAAAATTATTCAGTAAAAGTTTCTCTCTTTAACTCAGCCACATTACATATGCAGAATTTTCATTGCTAAAATGTAAGCTTCACTAATGTAAAGCTTTACTAAGGAGTGCTGGGAAGCTCATGTACCCCTTCTCTCATGCACTGGGCGCTCTACACTTACCTACTCTTCTCCCTCCCTCCATCCCACCACTTCCAGAGCGCCATGAATTGGTTGATTCACATTTGTCCAGTTTCTCCTCCCAGAGCTTGAACACTGAGAATCAATTAGCAGCATTCAAGCTTGGGGGGAGGGGGAGGGCAGAAGAGAGGGGACAGGGCATGAATCAGCCAATTCATGGCACCTTGGAAGTGCTGGGAAGAGGAGAGATAGGCAAGTGTGGGACTCCCCAGTAGGTGAGAGGCAAGGGGGAAGGAGGCTGAGAGGGGTACATGGGCTGCACATACAACCCTGATGGGCTGCTCAGCACTGTTATAGGGAGGAGCAGGGATGAGATATGCTTGGAAAAGGAGGTGGGGGAAGAGGCTGGTCAGGGATTTCATATTTGCCTCACTCTGTAACGCTAAAATGCTGGCTGTTCGCTCTGGGCAGCGCTGTTGCCTCCCGCCGTGGCGCTCGGCTGACTTCTGCACAGCAGCCCAGCTAAGCAGCGCAGGAGCAAGTATCGCAAGCAGCCGTTTGGAGTCCATGCTCCCCATGCAGCATGGGGGCGCTGCATAGGGAGCGCGGGGCCCAAATGGCTGCTTGCTCCCGCCCAGCTGAACGGCGCAGAAGTCAGCCGAGCGCCACAGCGGGAGGCAACAGCGCCGCCCAGAGGGAACAACCAGGGGACGGGGCCTGGACAAGTGTGCGTCTGACGTCAGGAAACGGCGCCGGATTCAAAAGGAGGAAAGCAGAGCAGACAGAGAGGATGCAGAGACAGAGAGGAGAATGGAGGAGGCGGAGGACAGCGAGAGAGAGACACTCAGCAGGAGGAGGAGAGAAACAGACTGAGAGGTGGGAGGGGGAGAAGAGAAAGAGAGACGGAGAGAGAGGCAGGCGGCGGACGAGAGCTGGGAGAGAGAGAGAGGGCGAGGCAGTAGGAGAAAGAGAGAGGCCGTTTGTGCCGTTTGGCTCCCATGCGGCGGCCCGGCCGAGCGGCGTAGAAGTCAGCCTG